AAAAAAAAAAAAATAGATCAGAAAACAAAATTGCTCATTTTGTTTCAAAGCTGCTGTCCTCACCACTACTGAAAAGTAGGAACTACTGATGTAGGAAAGAAAGGATAAGGTATAATGCTAATTATTATTATAATAGAATAATACATAAAACAGTAATTACCTCCCACATAAAACTACTGAAAAATGGAAAGTTGCTTTGCAAATCTTCCCCCTGGGAGAAAACCCAGGCAGGCATAGTTCCTATTATGCAGCTGTCTGAGACGGCTTCACAGATGTAACAGACCTCTCTGCTAGCCCAGCTATGCTACAAGACTGTGGTAGTAGGCCAGTCAGCCCAATATGAAGCACTGGGTGGAGAATAGGCTCCAAGAAACATTCGCCCAAGGTGAAAAGGTAAGGGGTTTGTACATTACTTGCTTATTTGCAATATAAATAGCTGCCTGAAAAAGGGGACAGTTGCTTTGGCTTCCTGGGACCTACAGTCTTTTGAATTGGTAAGGAATTGTCCTCTCTTTGGGGATCCTCGTACTCCTGGTCATCCTTCTACAGTAGCCTTCAACACTCCTGGTCAAGCTTTCCACACAATACCACAGGGTATTGCTGAGCCTGTACAGTAATTGACTGGAGGTCTCTACGCTGTGGCAATGGGAGGTTATTTGCATGTGGCAGCAGGTAGAACTCCCTCTAAGGGTGCTTCTACATGTTGTCCTACAGTGATATAGCGACATGCTACGTTGCTACATGGTGCACTATGGCAACGTAGCAATCACGTAGGTCTACATGATAGGCAGCTATGTCACCATAGTGGTGCGCTCCCCTGTTTTAGCATGCTGCTGCAAAATCCAACTGCACCGTGTGCATGGTGCAGTATGGGCAGTTACTGCGTCATACTTTAGTACTTCCAAAAGGAACGGTACTGAATTGCAGAGGTGAGGAGGCTGTTATAAATGAAGACAGAAACTGCAGCAGACTGTTATAGAGAGCATTTTTAAAAGAAAAGAAAAGATTATATTTGGGGAATAACATTTTGTAGTTGAATAGTTTGACCCATTGTTCTGACCTTTAGTGGCTTTTGCAAGAACAGCCCAAGTAGGTCCTGACATGAGGCACTCCAGTGTAACTCTACTTTTGGAGGTGCTTTCACTTCTAGGTGTCAGTTCTGTATCTTGCTCCTCAACAGTCGGGGGCAGCTGCCTTAGAATGTCAGATGCTCTTTCCAGTACTAATTCATCCTGGCTCTTTCTGTCACTGGTGAAAAACAAAAAACAAGGTCTATAATTCTGAACTTGTTCAAGCCAGAAGCTCTGATAGGAGATGATCTAGTTCCGTTTCCTTTTGTGGTTCATTGTCATATTTATTGTCATATATTCCACCCATAAGGGTTTTTTTCATGAAGTTATAGAGGATGTTCACAGTTAGGGCGGCTAGGAGCTGGAACCAACTTCCAAGGGAAGTGGTGCTGGCCCCTACCCTGGGGGTCTTTAAGAAGAGGCTGGATGCCTACCTGGCTGGACTCATTTGAGTCCTGTTTCTTGTTTTTGGGGTTTTTGTTGTTCTCCCGCCCTGGCGGGGGGTCGGGCTAGAAGATCTACTAGGTCCCTTCCGACCCTTACTCTATGAAACTATGAAACTATGTTTTCTGTAGTTAGTGTTAGATGAGGGGGTATGTATATAGTGCTATGTTGTGTGGAGGGCACTCCAACAGATTGCTCCTTTCAGCCTGAGAGTGGGGAAAAGTCAATTATCTACAGCAGCTTTTCCCAACCTGTGGGTCATGACCCAAAAGTGGGTCTCAGGAATATGTGAAAGGGTCACAAACTTTAAAGTTTAAAAATGGATCAACAAACTTTAAAAATGGATTCTCCTTTAAAGGAGAAAAATGTGGGAAACGGTGGCTTTTCCCTTGCAGGCTGGCAGAGTTCCAGCTGTTGATGTTTGCAAATGGGTCCTGGTACAAAAAAGGTTGAGAACTACTGGTCTACAGGATACAGCAGATCCTTGACAAAGCAGTTAACTATTTTAAACTTAGAATAACAGATAGCTATTCCCTAAGCAAGTCAATTCTTGGGCATTTGATGGCTTTTTAGTGGGGTTTTTTTATATTTTGGGGCCTAGATATATTTGACATACACAATACAAAAAAGTACTGCACACATGGAGTTCCCCGGGATTCAGCGGTAGAATCCTAGTCTGCCATGCAGAAGACCTGGGTTGAATTCCTGGCTGCTTATACAACTACAGCTGTGGAGGCACCAAACATCTGGACTCAGTCTGGCCTTTGGTTTCTGTCTCAGTGACCTAAAGAGGGGATGGAAGTTCTGGGCAGCCTCCACTCCTCCATACTCCTGCCTAGGCATATGCATAGAAGGTCTGGGTGATCTCTCGCACATACACGAGGATTGATGGTTGCTAAACCAAACGCTGCATGCATATATCAGAAGCAATCTGGTGGAAGTTAGGTAACAATAATGAATAGAAATCCTATGTACAACCAGGAAGACACCAATTACCTTTTAAAGTAAAAAACCCTTTTATTGTCTGGCATATTAAACTCAAGTTCTGTTGGCAAGGCTCCTGGAGTTGTACAGTAAAGTTCAACGCTACAGAGGATGCTGAAATCTGAAGGGAGATGAGGATACTCTACTGAAATCAGTCCTGAAGGAAGAATTAGAAAATGAAACGGGGAGGACAGAATTTCAGGTAGGGGTGCACTGTTAGAGATTTTGGGGGCCAATTGTTAAGGAGGCATGTTGGACGATACCAACCCGATTTCCAATACAGCTGCATCCAGCTGGTAAGTCTGTTGTGGTAGATGGGGAGGGGAGGATGGAAGGGTCATGGGGGCAGATCAACGCCCCCCACAGTGAGGGAAGGAGTGGGGCTGGGGCTGAGATTGGGGCAGGGCAGGGTGCAGGATAGAGCTGCAGTTCATCCGGGGGTGAATGGAGGGTGAGCAGCTCTTGCGGCTGCGTGCACCCCGGGATGGTATGGGGGGGGCATGTGCCCCCAGATCTGCAAGGGGCATGGTGGGCTGCAGCTGGGGCCAGGGGCCGCACTCGGCTCTTCCTGGTTGGGGTGGGGCTGGGCTGCGTGGTACTTGGGGTGGGCGGCAGTGGCACTGGGAAGGGGGCTATGGGGGGCTGCAGCCACCCCAAATTTTGCCATAGCCCCCCCAAAACCACCCCACACAGATCTGGGGGCACCTCCCTCCCCCCACAGACTTATCAGCTGCATGCAGCTCTCCAACCTGCCGGGCTGTGCTGTGGCTGTGTGCACCCATGGGCATTTACTGATCAAATTCCTGGCCACATCAGGCCAATTTCCAATATAGTCAATTTTCTTTATATTGCTGCCAGTCTGATATCAGGCTGATGTATTGGTGCACCTCCTAAATTTCAGAGGGAAAATCATAGTAACCAAGGAAGCAAGCAAGAAATGTCTGGAAGAAGGACATTATTTACTCTATCAAACACAGCCAAAAGACTAAAGTGGATGAGAATATGCCCTAAGACTTAGCTAGGAAGAAATCATTAGAATCTTTGGTGAGACCAGTTTCTGTGGAGCTTTCAGGTCATAGCAGAGATTCAAGATGTTTTATAACACACCATATCATAGCTATAGAAGATGCATTCAATGTGGTTTGAGATGAAGAAGGGAAGGCAGATTAGGTAATTAGTGCACAGCCAAGACAGGAACAAAGGGCAGGATTTTTATGAAGATGAAATCATTTTTATATTGTGAAGGGAATGATCCAGACTAGAGGAACAGATTTAGGAAGGAAGTAAAAGGGATAGGATATCATGATGGAGGTGTATATCGAGTTGCTGGGGCAGACTGAAAGGTTAGATGAGGATGGGTGGATCCAGAGCGGGTTCAGTGGCACAAACGCACTCCCCTGTTTTGGATTGGACTGCAGCACAGGAGACTCCTGGGGCTTTTAAGCCATTAAAAGAAGTGAAAAGCCCCCTCCCCTTCTATTTCTCCCTTTCCTCAACTGCTGCTGTTGCTTTCCCCACTGTCGTGCGGGTATGGAAAGAAAAAGAGCCCTTTCTGTTCTCCCAACCAGGCTGTATGTGGACTGGGCTCAGCTGGGGATGAGGACAGTGGCAGTGAGAGTGGGCAGGGGGGATCCCCTTCCCCATGCCTGCTCCCAGGGCACAGAGGGGGGACTTACTTTCCTTCCCTGCTGGTGCAGGTGCCCCATCTTCAGATGAGCCCAGCCCTGGCACAGCTTGACTGGGTTGGGCAGAAACAGCTCTGGTGCTTCCCTTGCACCCAGAACAGCAGGGAAAGCAACAGTGGCAGGTGGAGGAGGTGGGGGGAAAAGTGAAGGAGAGAGGAGTGCTTTAGAGACTCTGCTTTAGGGATTTTAAAAAGTCCCTGGAGGCTCTTGAGGGCAGTCTGCCCACATTGGTGGGGATGGAGGAGATTGGGAGATAGGGGTGCACCCACCCCTACAGTGGCGGTTGCTGCTCCTGCACCCCTGTTAGGAAATCCTGGATCAGCTGCTGGAGGAAGAGACTAGGTAAGAAACCTCAGGGTTAATACAGACAGAGAATGAGATAGGTGAGAAGGAAGGAAAAAGAAGAGTGAAGGAGGGAAGTTCCAGTATATCTGTCTTGCCAATACATTTTTTTTGGAAAAAAAAATTCTCTGGGGTAGCAGAGAAGAAAACTTGGCAAAATTACAAACATCATTAAACACATGAAGGCATTTATATGACATTCACAGAGCAGCTCCCTTCTTGGTGAGCTGTTCAAAATGTACCTTCCAATATCATTGCAAAGAAAAGGGATGTTTTCAGTTACCAATATGCTGTATGCCCTTACTCTTGATGACATGGTAAATTAGGCTTAGATGCATGCAAATAATAATTGAAATTGTGGATCAGCACAAGTAACTTCTAGTTGTTTTGTGCACTAGATTTTGCTCAGGCTCCTTTTTAGAGCACTGACCTGATTATCAGGGTGTCCGTCATGACTCCTGGCTGCAAACTGGCAAGGGTATCAACAAGGGCTTGTGCCTGAGACGCCAGGAAGGCTCTTTCAGCACAGGTATGCATTCCAAATAGTTCTGGTGAATCTGTGTCTGGCAGAGACTCTAGATATATTCTGCAATCCTCTAAGCTGTCTGTTTCAGATATTGGTCTATAAACCTGCAAAATAATTGACAAGGGGTTATTTCTCTACTTAAGCCCCACGTGAATTAAACACTTTTAAAGGTGATTTATATACTGCTGCATTCCAAAAGTTTTAAGATAGTAATCCAACTGATTTTGCATTGGTATTAACATTTCTTTATTTGTCCCACCAGGGGCAGATTCAGGGTGGGATGTGCAGTCGCACCACCCTTTACTAGTGATTTGCTGCTCAGCTCCAGTCTCAGCTGCCAGATACATGTGTAGTAACCTCACTGCATACACAGTCCACTTTTTCACCATTCTGGATCCATTACTGACTAAAAGAGGCAGAAGAATAAACTATTTTTCTATGGCTTCAATGATCGTGGGAAAGAAGGGTCACTTACTAATAACACTTGACTCTTTGTCACTTCACTCTGTATTCACAGGGATTTTGGTTGTAGCCATGTTGGTCTAAGGACATAGGCAGGAAAGGTTTTTTGGATAGATGTGATATCTTTCTAATAAAATAATCTTTTATTAGAAAAATACCCAAAGGACCTTGCTTTCACAGGGATTTAAGTGTATAAAAAAGCTATGTCCTACTGTATGGGAATTTTCTAACAGCATTATCTTGGGCCAGACAGCATGGGTGGTGGGGTGCATACCACATGTTTTTTAGAGAAAATCTTGGTACTTCTGAAGGAGGGTTTTCTTGGTTTGGTTGAAGGCTTAAGGAAGCCACTTGTGTCTGCAGTCTTAGCTATCTGTCCTTCTTCATCTAAGGGGTGAAGGCATGGCAAGCTGTACACTAGTGTTTCTTCTGGACACACTAGGCAGTTGACAGCAAGGATAGAGGAGGAGACAAGCAGCCTAGCATAATGACAGAACACATTAGGGATTACTTTGAGGACCTGGGTGTTTTCAGGTTGATAGGGCTGGAGGAGATGTGTCATAGAGTACTGAAGGAATTGGCTGGGGTCATCATCAGCAAACCCTCGATTTGAAGATGGTCTTTACTATGGCTCACTGATGGGTTATTTAAGAGTCCAATCCTGGAGCCAGAGATCCATCTGCAGAAGTTGCAGGTCTTTCTGCAGGGCAGAGTAAGCTGCAGGCTAGGATTCCTTTTCTTTTCCTTCCTCTATGCGTCTCTGCTTCCAGGGCAAGACACTTTCCCTCAAAATGGGCTGCCACTCGGTTGAGGCTGCAGTACCATTGAGGTTGGTTGGCAGCCAGCTCCTCTCAACTCTTGATGTCAGCATCTGTTTTCTAGGGCTATGCCTACAATGTGTCCTTGCAATGTTTCCTCTGGCCACCACAAGACCTCAGACTGTTATTATGCTGGGAGAAGAGCCCTTGTTTTGGGAGTCAAGAGTCAGGCATCCGCACAGTGTCCAGTTCAGCAAAGTTGGTGCTTCAGGATCACCAACTCAATGCTGGTAACATTGGCTTTAGCAAGGATGCTGGTATTTGTGTGGCAATTTTCCCATTTCATATGGAGGATTTTCCAGAGGCATCATTGGTGATACCTCTTCAGGCTCTTGAGATGACGATGGAGGGTCATCCATGTTTCACATCCATAAAAGGGAGTGGGGATGATTGCACTGTAGACCTGGATCTTGGTATTTTTCCAGAGATCATGATGAATAAAGACATGCTAAAGCAATTTCCCAAAGAGGGCACTTGCACACTGGATCCTGTGTTGGGTCTCCTTGTCAATGTTCACTGTCTGAGAGAAGTGGCTATTGAGGTAGGGGAAGTGCTTGACTACCTCCAAGGTCTTTCCCTTGATGGTAATTTGAAGAGGGAGGTCACACTCATGGCCTAGGGCAGACTGGTAGAGCACTTTAGTTTTCTTAATGGTGAGATGGAAGCCCAAAGTTAGGTATGTTTCCCCAAAGAGTTCCAGCATGTTCTGGAGGTTTTCCTCTGTGCGCAAGGATGGTGCAGTAGTCAGCATATTAAAAGTTAGGCATGGTTGTTCTGAGTACTTTGGTCTTTGAGTGAAAATGACTCAGGCTAACTACTGGATGGATGGAAGACTCTTCAAGGTCAATTCAGGAAGGAAGGCAGTCCTTAATGAGAACCAGGATGACTGTCAAAAAAAAAAAAAAAAATGAAGAACAGAGTTGATGCGATGATGCATCCTTGCTTGACTTGTTTGGATGACAAATGCATCTGTCTTCACTACAAAGGATGATCACAGTCATGGTTGTACAGAAGCCTCAGTACCTTGAGGTGCTTCTCAGGATATCTATATCTGGCCTGTATCTTCCACAAGGCTTCACAATTGATGGAATCAAAGGCTTCAGTAAGGTCAATGAAAGTTATATAAAGGTCCTGATGTTGTTTCCAACACTTTTTTTGGATCTGGAGGGCAACAAAGATCATCTAAGTTGTAGCAAGAAAGTCTTTTGTCTGCCCCTCCTCAAACATGAAGCTCTTCCGTATGGCAAAAGCCCCTCTTTTAGTATTTGCCCCCTTTTGGGGATGCTTTCTTCTAAATTTTCTTCCTCTCTTTCTTTTATTATATCATTATTATTTTTATATAAAGGTGTATTTGTAGTGAAAATAGAGCTTGTAGATGCTTTTACAAATGTACTTTTAAGTTTAAAAGTAAGTTGTACCATGTAACAATGTTAGCAAGAGCAGGTATCTCTGTATGGAGCAGGTCCCTGAATGAATCATGGTTGATTGTGTAACACAGTAGCTAGTCTGGACAAGCATGTTAATGAGTGGCAATTAACACCTACAAAATCAGAGACCAAGGAGAAGAAAGAATCAATAAAGAGCCAGGAATTCTTGGAAACTTCATTGTTAAAAGTATGGAAGCCCCCGTTTGAACTAATCAGTACTGGAAACAGACCCTTGGGGCTGAAATACCCCCTGATCAACCACTTCCAGAGATCTATTCATCATGGCAGTGAATCGATCAAAATTCATCAATGGACTCCTGAGACTGCATGTACATGCGGACATGACCCCTAGGGCTGACAGCTGCCATCCAGCAGCTACGAAGAGGGACATCTCTTGAGGTCAACGACCCCTGGATTGGGTAAGCCCGAGAATTGGGGAGTCACCAAAGTCTGCCAGAGAGGCATAATAGGCGGCGAAAAATGACCCCCAAGGGCACCCTTGTTGACTTGACCAGGACCCTGCCTGTCCAGCCAGAAGGAGCAGCTGGCGACCCCCTTCTGCAGCAACATTGCACTGAAAGGAGCCTTGACTGGCTATTGACAGTGGACTCCAGTGCTTGGGGATAGGTATATCTTGACACCAGTGCCTAGTGTTCAGCACAACATACTGTGAGTGTGTGTTTGAGGGGATCAGCACCAAGGTTTATGGTCTGACCTTTGCATCCGTCCAATAAACTAGAATTTTATGATGATCTTGTGAGTTGGTGCTTTGTAGCCAACACAGTTACCCCGTGAAATGGTCTGAAGCCACACTGAGATTCTGGCAGGACTTCCTCAACAAGATCTGGAAGACAAGTCAGGAGGCCGCAGGAGAAGATTTTCCCTGCTGTGGAAAGGAGGGCAATACCTTGATAGTTCCCACATACACTCTTATTTCCTATCTTGAAGAGAGTCATGATGTTGGCATTCCTCAGGTCCTCTGGGATCTCATCATTGCTCCAAATTCAGGGAATAAATTCATGGCATCTCAGTACCAGTTTCTTGCCACCAGCCTTGCAGGTTTTAGCAGGTATGCCATCTGGTCCAGTAGATTTGTTCTTAGTTTCCTTGATGGCACACCAGACTTCTTCTAGGACAGGTTTAGCAAGGGATTCCATTTCAGGGTGTTAGGGGGTGGTTCAGGAGTGCCTCAAAATGTTTTTTCTGTATGGCATGGACAGCTTCATCGTCTTTGGGGAGGGATGAGCCATCCTGTGATCACAAAAAAATAGGGCCATGGGAAGTTGAGGCACGGATGGTTTTTGTTGCCTGGAAAAAGCTATGCACGTTACGTTTGTCAGCATAGATCTGGATCTTCTTGGCTTTACCTTGCTACCACTGATTTTTTTATTTCCCAGATCCTCCTTTGAGCTTCAGATTTGAGGAGCTGATACATCTCCTTCTTCTGCTGAGATAGTGTTATTGACAAGCAGAAAAAGCCCCTCTGTTCCAGCTGAGGAGGGCTTGGATTTCAGTGTTGCTCTCATTGAACCAGTCTTGGTGTTGATGGGTGGTATAGCCAATAGATTCAGCACAGGCTATATGCATGGCAGTTTTAAACCCCTTCCAGAGTTCCTCAATTTTGCCTTCATTTGTGGACAAGGCAGAGAGCTTTTCATGGAGACACTGTTGAAAATCCTTACAGACCTTCAGGTCTTGAAGAGATTTGGTGTTGAGTCATTTGCATTGTTTTTGGCTGTTTTCAGTATTTCAGAGCAAGCCAGACGTTCATAATGAAGCTGACAATCCAGTGATCTGTCTAGCTGTCATGGGCTCCTTATACAGCTCATATGGACATCCATTCAATCACAGGGTCTAACAATAACATAGTTGAGGGAAGTGCCAGTGGTTAGAGCAAGGGTGTCTCCAGGTAGTCTTGTATTTATCGCTGTCAGAAGATGGTGTTTATGATGACAATACTGGGCTTTGTGCATTTACTCAGAAAGATGCTATTGGAGTTGGCCTTCCCTACTCCTTTCCCAATGGTGTCACTCTAGAGTTCCAGGTCACATCTGACTTGGTGTTGAAGTCACTAAGGAGAATGATCTCATCCTCCCTGCAAGTAGGAAACAGAACATGGTCAAGATTGGAATAGAACTGTTCTTTGAAATCACTGTCAGCATTAAGTATTGGAACATACACTGATGATGGTGGTGTACTGATTGTGGCTGAGCTTAAGACATCAGTAAGATAGAGACTAGACAAAAGTACTATCCATGTCCTGGCTGAGATTCCCTTTATGGAAATTGCTTTCACATTATCAATGTGAAAATCATTTCAGAGTCTACATGTCATCAACATATACATATTTCTCAGCCTGTGCTTCAGGAATGATAGATGAATAAAAAAAAAAGGAGCTAAAAATTCTCAAAGAAATCAGGTGGCTGATTTTTCTCCCAAATTTCAGAGTAGCTTGTTGGTCGCCTATCACTTCTAGGAAGAGCCACACCAGCAGCCACGTGCACAAGGAATAACTTTCAGCTCTTTAGCAGTCAATCTGACATGGCATACCATTCATTTGCTGAAATCAGATCTGTACCAACCTTCTTTCCTGACTCAAGTGAGCTCTGTATACTTTTGGTAAAAAGAAGTATGGGATGTTAGGTGCAATGTCTCCTACTGAATTCAGCCTGAACATGAGACATTTGAGGCTTGATAACCTTACTGATCTGCAGAAGGATTAGTCAGTAGTATGCGGACACTTCCTCAACTATGTTATTGTTAGAGCCTGTTATTGAATGGATGTCCATATAGCCATATGAGGAGCCCAGGGCAGCTAGACAGATCACTGGATTGTCAGCTTCATTATGAACATCTGGCTTGCTCCAAAACACTGAAAACAGCCAAAAACAATGCAAATGACTCAACACCAAATCTCTTCAAGACCTGAAGGTCTGTAAGGATTAGTTAGTGGTATGTGGACACCAAAAAGAGGTAGTGATGCAGTTTACAGACAAAGATGCATGATAGACACTTACCATAGTTTTTTAAATCAAGAAAGAGGAAATTCACCTTACAAGTGCTGTTATCAAAGCATGCCACTAAAATTCAGGTCAGTGAAACTAAATATAACATAGTTCACATTTTCAGAAGATATAGATTAATGTAATATGAAATATGAGAGGTTTTTGTGCCACAGTAAAATTTACCAATTAATTGCTGTTCAAAGTTTAGATGCGGATACCATAAATTGAAGTTCAATCAATAATAAGACTGAAAATGTATTAAGTAAGCTGTATAAAGATACAACTAGTTACACAGTTGGAGAATATGGATTGAAAAGACAGTTTTTCTTACCCCATCACTAGAATAAGCAAAACCCTCCTGCAGAATGGCAGGATTATAGAAATTGTCCAGAATACTGAGCAAGCAACGTCGGTCCCAGTGATCAGTCACATGACCTCCATAGGCTACTTCTCCAGTCAAATAACGCAATGCTGGCCAAGGAACCTTTTCTTGGCTCTTCAAAAGCATTCTTAGCATCTGTATAGAAATCTTTGAAAGAAAAGGCTCAAGTAAGGCAGTGGTATTGTTTTTGGGGTTAGGATAGCATTTTTAGAGCTCTATGATGCATAGGAATCCCCTAACTGCTTCATTAGCCATATACTGTAAAAGCTGAAACATAAGAAGCTGTGATTTCTTGTAGATAGCTGTGAGCTACCATGCTACAGAAACAATCAATAGATTCTGATTACATTGTAGTAATTGAAAGAGCTAATATTCAAGTGATCTTTAAGATAAATGTAAAACAACAGAAAAAGAATGAGAAAATACATGTGACACTTATACAGCAAGGTGCCCTAGAAAAGAGAGAGCCATTTAAATGGCTGTGTTTAAGATGACATTTAAGACTCTTACCCACCCCCGACACCTATACATAGTGGGTCTCAATTGAATCTTATAACATTGAGGGGTTTTGTATTAATGGGAGTGCAGCTCTTGGTGTCTAGACCAAGGGAGGCCAGAATATGGCCTGTGGACCAGATCAGGCCCACCAATTGTTTTTTTTCTGGCCCGTGGGTGGGTGGCATGGGCAGTGGTACCACACAGCAGGCCCTAGATAAGCAGCACTCAGGCTCCAGCAGCTCTGGCTCCAGCCACTGCATGGCATTGGGTGGCTGGGGCTGCTTCTGCCTAGCAGCTGCTGGGGCTGGAGTGTGACTCCATCCTGCCCATGGGGCATGGAGCCCCTGTGCTGTCCCATCCCACCCGACCATCAGGGCTCCTGGGAGTTGCAGGGTGGGGTGTGAGCATGTGTGTCAGGAACCCTGACGGCAGAGCAGGATAGTACAGCACAGGAGACCCATGATCAGGCTCCAAACCCCATCCCCTCCCAGCTGTGGATGTGGTTAGCAGGTGCCAGCTCCAGGCTCGGGGAGGGGAGGGGGGTGTGTGTGTGTGGGAGGGGAGGGGAGGGGTGTGTGTGTGTGTGTCCATGTGAGGTCCTCAACAGCTCACCAAAACTCATTAAGTGGCCTTCCAACCCAAGTAATTGCCCACCCCCTGGTCTAGAGTAGGAAATAATGCATGCAAGTACAGAACTTGTGCAGATTCAGCTGGGAGAAATGAACTGTTGTATAAAATTTAGCTTTTTCTAGATTTATCAGCCTTGCCACCAATCACAGAATGACAGGCTGCATATTATGTGGCTATCTGATAGGTTACTATTTTATGCTTCTGCAAAACAGAGGGGATAGGATTGGGAATGTGTACATGGACAAAATATCATGAAGAACTCTAGTTGTTGTGAAGTAAATATTTTCGCTCTTTACCTTTGAGTGACTGTTTATATGTACATACCAACTGTTAATGACTCAAAAGAAGTAGATCAGTTTAGCTGGAGCCAGTTTTTTTTAGGTCCAAGGGTGGTATACCATCAGCACTGTCAATAGAATGGAGATGGGCAGCAGTAGCAATCCGGGTCTCCGCAAAATGTGCATGTTCACTGGTACTGTAAACATTATTAGTGATGCAAGATGGTCTGTGGCAGGCAAACACAGACAACACTTGTTCTCTTGTAGGGCTATACCAATATATGGGTTGGTGCAGTAGGAAATGGTGTTAGTATGAATGCTTCGCTGCTGAATGTTGTGGCCTTTTCAGAACGTTGTGGAGTAGGAGGTTGATCAGGCCCCATGACAAAGTGGGGGCATTCTGTGGTGCTATTGGTATTTGGTCCTCAGTACACTACTTGGTGCTGAATCACTGGCCTTATAGGGCACTTAAGGTTTGTCAGGAAAACCTCAGGGCCACAAAAGCCCAGAGAGAGTTGGGGGGAGCAGATTTCATTCTGGAGGAGGTTTTTTGAGGGGATCTACACCCACAACTGCCTCTTCCCCTTTCCTTATTCAAAGAGATTTTTCTTGTGTTGGTGCAGCCACATGCTATCAAATTCAGGTAATTCTCTTGTACAAGTTTTAAATCAAGTAAAACTAACACTGCTCCATAGAATATTTAAGCACAATGATGTACTGGTGTCAGGACTATGGACTATTGCTTTCTCCTCCCAATGTTCATGACCTTCTACATCAACAGAAGTGAAAAAAAGATAAGAGACTTCTTGTATAGTAGAAAAAATTATGCATTTTAGTTTTTCAGGTTCTTTTCTTCTTCAGACATATTATTAAACATTTAATGATTATTACGTTCTTCCCAGGCCTAAATTTGGACCATTTACTTTTTATTTCCAATTTACTTGGGTTTTATCTTCTAGGTTGTGGGAGACAAAGATACTATCCAAATTAAGCTACCACCACAATATTAAGCGTGTTGTGGACCTGAGTCATTTGACTTCTTGGGTATCTGATTTGGGTGCTCCCACTTGGTTCCTACTATATTCAACCTAAGTATTAATGAGCCTGAGAATAAAAATCCCAGTTTACTTTGCAATTTCTTAACAGATATTACCTCTAAATCTGAAGAGTTAAATTCATACGGGATATTCCAGCCCAAAGCTCCATACTTCTTTCTTTCTTGGACAACAGCATTAAAGAAACACAAACTGAAAAGCAGCTTTTTCCATGATGGCCCAAATGCAGCCTTGTTGAAGATATTTTCAGTTACCTCTCCACTGCCACTGTACCCAAATGTTTGAAGTAATTTTCCTTTCAAACCTTGAGGTGGTTCTACTGCCATCTTTAAACGAGGAAATAGAGGAAACAAGGTAACTATTATCCAACATAATTTTCTGCATATTGTAATTTTGCAGTATACACTGTGCCAGGGTCAGGTTGCAAATTTTTTCTAGCCAGCAGTGTCCACTGTGGCAACATCCCTCCTCACATGCCCTGAGCCCCAGAATATAAAAGGAGTGGACTCAACTGCTCTTTGGATCTTTTACACAGAAGGATGCAAAACCTAACACTTTGCATACTGGTACTGTACATTGCTGAATAGCACCAAAATATTAGCACCACAAGACTAAGATAACCTAGTGTGTTGTGAGATTTTTTAGTACTACAGTATAGTGGGTACCAGACCATTTCATCAACCACAGTCTATAATTCTGGATTACAGGCAATGGCCCCAGCTGACCTAGATAGATCCAGGGGATGTACATGGTATTGAAACTCAGCCCTCAGATAGGTCAACCTGAAAGGACACAAGTACATTGGCATCATGCCACTGCTGCTGTGATATCAACAACAAATTACATCAAGCTGGAAGGGCCTGGGAACCTAAGCTGGAAGGGCCTGGGAACCTAGGCATTGAATTGATGCCAGGTGGTCAGTATACAATTCAGCTAATCTAGTGGGACAGAGGAACCTTAGCTATATGTTGAGTGCTGGGCCCTTCACCCAAGGATGGGAGCCAGAATCTAGGCTTTAAACAAGTCAGTCTACAGTGAAGAGGCTCCTTTGCTCTGTGTCAATTGTGTCTGAACCCTGGCAACAAATCAGGTTGACTCTAAAGGTTCCTAAGACCTTGGCTCTAACCAGTGGTGTTAGATGTCAGTGCAGAATTAGATTGATCTGGAGGAGGTGGCCAGGAATGTTGAGTCTGCATTGAAAATGTTGGGACCTGATTATCACACAGGTCGACCTGGAAGAATCTGGTACCTCATCACTGTCACCAATATCAAGACTTCTGCCCTGAATTAGTTTAACCCAGAGGAATCTGGGGACTTGGGTGTTGATTGGCATCAAATATTCCTGTCAGAACTCTTCCTATGTAAGACTAGCACAATTAATATTGCTTAAGTTGGACACAGAGCAACTTAAGGTTAATGAATATCCAAAGCTGATGCAGGATTTCCAGGACTAAGAAGCTGCCTCTATCCAAAATGGGGTATGAGACAACATCCTTCTGTTCCTGAAGATCAAAACATCACCAACCTGCAGTACATACACCACAAATATTATGGGCAGCCACTGTGGTTGTAGTATGTTTCATTTTTAACTTTCTTCTTGCTATTGCAGGATTACTCTTTGGATCCTTAAGAGGGAACTAAAGTTTCAGTAGCTAGAGAGGTTTTACAAAGCAAAGCATTCGTTATAAATACTTTATTTTCCTTATGTATAGAAATAAAGCCCTCTGTCTTAGCTTGGAATTGGTGAACTTCACACCAACCTTGGGAGCATGCTGGAGCTAGATTTTGGCTTGATTTTAGTTCTTATTAAGACAATATTAATAATGGGATGAGACATCTGAAACATACAAATTGAGTATTTACAACTGAATCATAGTAACTTGTTGATTTTGGTGTACCGGCTAATTGTATTAACTCTTACCTTAAAACCTTTCTGCAGAATAGGAACAGGGAAAGAAGGATTGGGTGTGGAGCTTAACCAAAGTCTAAACTGAGGGTCCATGTTTATATTTGGTTGGGTAAATCTGTAAAATATGATTACATATTTTATTTAGAAAAGAAAATATTGCAAGCCTGCTAAGAAACCATAAACTGGCCAAGGGTACAAGATTTGTACATTATCTTTTCACAAACAGAAAATATAAGTTTCTTTCCTAATACAAATGTTTATTCACTACTGTTAAATTTTTCTTAGAGTTAGACCTCTCTGATGAGTTAGTTTAAAATACTTAAAGAGGAATAATTTGTATCGCAGAAACAGCCAAAGAATGGTTAGGTATCCTGGTTAGCGATAACCAAAACTTTGCTGGTCAGTGGCTAACTAGTCTATAATAACTATGATTAAGTGAGTAATAAATGTGTAAACTTGTAACACGAATTGTTTCTCAAAATAGACATTGTATCTGTTATACAGTGGCAACAGTAACAAAATGTCTGATTAAATGAAATAATATTATCCAATAAATAAAACAGGCTGGACTAATACCCCTAAATGAAAATATTTCCTGATTTCTCTTCTCAAACTTTATTTTTATGTTGTCATAAAAAGATAGATACTGTATTTACATTAATTGTTTCATATTTGAATTACATTTTATAATACAACATATGTCCTGAATGTAAATAAACCACTTACGAATCAACAATAGTACAAAGCCTGGGCATAAATGATGTAGCAAGGTGGCAGTTTTGGAGGAACACCCATTGTCCGCTCACAGTCTGTGCTTGATATATCAACTCTTCAGCCTTGCTCCCCTGCCCACGTCCTAAAGAAACCATTTTCACATGCTTTGTGTTTCCTTTTATTTCCTGTGCAAGGCGTAGGAGATGAACAGTTGGGTCTGTTCCTGAACAAAAAAAATATGGATTTGGTTTATTTACACTGCTGTAGTCGTTAAACTAAAGATGATTTCTATCACATTTGGAAGTTTTTCCATCATTAATTACTTGACCTATGAGAACTGAACTGTGTATTATTATTAGTAGTAGAACTGTACATTTCAGTATAAAAGAATCAAACAGTATGGAAAATGTGCTATATTATACCTCTCAAAAATGCACTGAGGAGTAATAAATAAGAAAAGTAGTTTCCCTGGAAATCTCATTTTGGTATCACAGCAAATTATACTGAACAAACTAGTTGTACCATTAAATCAGGAAAAAAATATATGTTATTCCACTAATGTTTTTCTATAAACTGTTTAATATTATTTTAAAGCTTGCAAAATAGTATTGAGCTAGATCTCTTATATAAAAGCCCATGAGAGAGATGAGTGGAAGACAGTGAGCCTTAGGTAATGTAGAGTTCTGAAGAAGACGGGCATGAATCGTTAAGCAGGTTACAGACAGAAAGGCATGATGCACTCTGGCAGTTTATCAGTAGCTCACCAGGAGAATGAATAAATATTAGAGGGCTGCTGGCACAGGAGTCTTCATAAACTTCTTTCAGATTAGTCCCTCTAGTCTGAAGAAACCTGGCTCCTAATTTCTCAGTGACAAATTCTTGTACTGCACCATTTAAACTTTCTGGTCTGAGAATTTTTATCTGACAATAGAATGTAAGTGATGAGAAAACAGCATGAATCACATGATTTACATTAACACTAGCACAACAATGATCCCTTTGAAAGCTGAAATAAGGCTGTTCATACTGTTTAGTTCAGAAAGGTTCTGGAGGTTTCTGTTTGTTTGGATTAGTATTAAAATCAGTAGGCCAATGTGCACATCTCACTCTACATGAATCTAAGTGCATACGGAGGCAAAGCAATTCAGTACATAGAAACATGGCAAGAAGTACAGTCAAATGAGGACTGGGGTAAGAAACAAGGTTAAAAAAAGATAGTTAAGAATTTTATATATGAAGAAATGGTATAGAAGGTTATTTAAGAGAATAACCTTACAAAACAAGTAGATGGTAAGTTTGTCTGCATGTGAGTGTGACTATGTGTATGCATGCATATATGCATGAGTGTAGGATGGTGGGAGAGACAGGAAGCAAGAGTGAGACTGTCTGTATGTGTATAAGAGGCAGCAGCTTATTGCTGCAGGAATTAATTATGACACATCCTTAAAATTAATAAAGCTAGGAATTGAAAATTCTAGCCCACTATATGGTTGTAGGTGGGAATATGAGCTTCTCAAAGTAAAAAAGCCAACCCACTATTCAGAAAGCACAAACTATTTGCATTTTAAATAGCTTGCTGTGAACTGACTCTATTTTATTTGTTATAAGAGTTTTTGTAAAATATATTTTGAAATATTGGTGCTAATAAACCCCTCTCAAACCTGTACCTAACCGAGCGATCATTCGTGACTAATGCTTGGTAAAAGAATATTTCCAACTCATTTTGTTTTCTTACCAGTATAAGTCTTTGAAATGAAGAAAGACTCTCCCAGGGAAAATTTACCAAGTCACGATTGAGATCAGTGGTTACTTCCATTACTTCTGATTGCAGACCTGTATCAGCTATAGAATAATTAAACCAAGGTTGTGGACATACAAAAGACACTTAAAATCATAGTTTAGCAATCTTACTATATTTTCAGTGAATATATCATCACGGTATCCATTGACCAAACAGCATAAAGATAGCTTTAATTTATCTTGTAAAATCTGAAAACATTATTTTTGTTTTCAGAATGGGAAAGTTTTGAATGACATCATATGAACAACAATTAAATCCTTAGCCTGCCTAGGAGTCCATAGGTCTTGGTCATTTGAAACTTGAAAGGTCATGGTGACAGAAACAGAGGTTACTTACTTTCCAGTAGCTGATTCTTTGAGAGATTCAGTAATTTTGATTCCCTGCTCATGGTGGGCATGTTCCTTCTTCACAGAAGTCTGAAATGCTTCCACAAAATGTGGCATAAGGGGGGTGGGCAACCAGGGCATGAGCCCCAGGCCCCAACTTAAAAGGGAGCACCAGAAAGGACTGAAAGGGGGTGCTGAATCCATCATTGTCCCTCACCCCCAGCAGTGTAAACTGGGGAGAGGTCTGGGTTAGCTTGAGGCTTTGGTCATGGGGGGAGGGGACAGGAGATGCTCAGAGCCAGGGAGGCAGCTGGAAATGCATGGGAGGGTTGCATCCCAGTTGCCCTGGTCCCCTCAGCCTCATGGTCTTTGCTGGAAACGCCACTGCTGTAGTGTGTGATTGAATGAAGTTTTAGCAATATGTAACGCAAAGCCAGAACATGTTAACCTATTCAAATGCCAAGCTGTTTAAGCTATGTTTAGATTAAGTAATAACAGCATTATATTGATAGTAATATGGGTCGATTATATATTCATAGCTTGACGAAACTATTGTTGAACTATTGATGAACTTTGTATTAAGGATAGTAGTATCCCCCGCTCCCACCACTATCACCCTCAATGAGCCTGGGCTGGCCACTCAATGCTAACATTGAGCAAGCAAGCTGGTAACTGTAACATCTCCATAGAGTGTGTTTGTCTCTGTGAAGTCTTTGTACGTTATTGTTTTATGTAATCAATAAACATGGCATCTTGCCTTATCCCCCCTCATAAGGTCTTGCTCGTGTTTTGAGCTATTGGCAATTTGTGTAATACTGCTGCAGGGAGAGATGTCCATGCAGCCATGGGATTAAGGCAACCACCACGACACAGCTGCTGCCTGTTACTGCCAAAGTCAGCATTTCCTGTTGCCAGTGATGATTGAATCAGTTGCATGAGGTAGGAACTGCGAGATCATCTGAGAAGACTGCAGAAAAATCTTAAGTGACTGGCTAATTGTGATGCTACCACCAGTCAGTAATGAGTCATAAATGTGTGACTGAAAGAACACGTGGCAGCAATATGAATCTCAACTACAGGAACTTTATTGAAACCTGCTGCCAAGATAGCTTATGGTTTAGTTATATAAACTTTGATACGTTTCAATGGCTCTGTTAACACTATAGATGTCCTGATGCTACATTGATGACCTTTACATTTCTTGCAAAAGAAACAAAACTATATAGGAAATTTCTAAAAGAGTCTTGTGTATGTGGCTTATGATGTCCAATGGTGATCCTCTGTGTATGAACTGATCTAGAGGTGCTCCTCAACCCCCTTTATATTCATTGATGATCAGTCTCCTGGTGTGGTTCTGGGCTGAAAATGATAATCCTCAATGCATATATATCCTTATCTGCTCCTCACTGAAGTAAGAACACAACCGTCTGTAGGGCTCTTATTTATCAGCTTATACTGTGGGTGCCTGGACAAGAAACTGATTTGATACAGATCTAGAACTGTCCAAGTTTCAACTCACAAAAGATATTATATAAGTATATGACACTATGTATCCCCAAAACCTGATGCCTACTTTCACTACAAAACACCAATAGGTCTTCAGGGTCTGTGATCAGCTGGCTGACTGACAAAACAAACAAACCCCTCTGGAAAAGAAATTATCTTGAAATCTGGAATTTCTCTTATGAAATCAACAGACTGAAAAATTAACCTCGTAGTCATCAATGGATCAATGTCTAATTGGGAGGAAGCATCAGCAGAGGTTACCCCGGAGTCTGTCCTGGGTCTGGTACTGTTTAATATCTTCACTAATGACTTGGAAGATGGGATTTTTGTGCAGGCTTAGTAAGTTTGCGGATGATGCCAAACAGAGTGGAGGAGTAGACACTTTGGAGGACAGGATTAGGAATAAGAATGACTTGGATAAAATGGAAAAAATGGTCCAAAATTAATTAAATGTAGGTCAATGTTGAAATTCATTTGGTGTGGAACAATCAAAAGGAAATTGGGAATAACTAGCTGTGCTTCAGTACAATACAAAAGAATCCGAGGATTATAGTGGACACTAACTTTTGTAAAAAGGACTAGTTTACTGGGTTCTATTAACAGGATTGTCACTGTAACAGCGTGGGGTCCTAGGGTTGGCCGTGATCTCCCCTAGTGCCCCCTACTGTGCCAAGTCAGTGTTAAAGCACCCTCACATCCCTCCTGCCACGTCTTTGATGTCAACTATGTATAAAGGGAGGCTGCCTTTTGTCCCCTTGGACACGGCGCTCTGATGCATCTCAGTCCCTGTGCTATTTTGGGCGACTCAGTGCACTCCAGCCTTATGGGCTATGCGTGGCTCCAACCACCCCTGTGCCATGCCCCAAGCCTCACAGATGTACCAGATGTTGTTTGGTCAGTTTCCCTCTCCGTACCCCCCCAGTGCTTCTGGCTTGCCTTGCAGCCTGTGCCCCACCAGCACTCTCTGGCTTGCCCCTTTTTTCTCTGGGGCTTGTCACACTGCCCCCTCTCTGGGGCTTCTGGTGCCTCAGGGCTCAGGTGGCTGCAGCCGTGCCTGGCCCCAAATCTCCTCCTCAGGGTCTCGAACCCCCTGCAGGGCTCAGGCGGCCTCAGCCACACCTGGCCTCCAATTCTTTGTTCCCCTTTCGGGGCTGGGGTCAGTGCACCCCCGAATGCTGCACCCTCTCTGGTGCCAGGGTCCCCACGCTACTATGGAGCCCCTATGAGGCCTCCTTCAACCCCTAATAGCCTCACCCGCGGAGGG